ATACTGGATTGTGATGCTAGTAATGTCGGAATTGGGTCCATCTGGGTTCTTTAATGATCTTAACCATCGTAATGCAGCATGGTCTGTCGAAATGGTAAACCTTGCACCATAGAGGTAAGGATGGAAATATGTCAGATGCTTTACTATAGCAAATAGTTCCCTCCATGTTACACAGTAGTTCCTCTCTGGTGTACTCAGGACCCTACTGAAGTAGGCCACCACATGTTCGTTTTCGCCCACTTTCTGAGACAACACTCCTCAATTAGCACGTTGGATCGGAAAAATAGACCAGTATAATTATAATATTGAATATAGAGAAGGAAAATCTCATGATAATGCTGATGGACTGAGCAGAAGACCCTGCAAAAATGACTGCAGATATTGCTGCAAAAGAGAGGTTGAACTAACTAGGTGCCATCAAGCTGAACTCAAAGTGACTGAAGGAGTTGGTGATGGTGAAGTGGAACCAAATATAGATATCAAAGCAGAACAGGAGAAAAATCAAGATCTGAAGCCAATAATTGATTTTCTAAAAGCAAGTGTTTTGCACCCTGCTTGGGAGAAGTTGTCTAGTCTAAGCCCTGTGACAAACAACTATTGGGCACAATGGGACCAGTTGAAGCTTGAAGATGGTATTCTTCTCCGGAGATGGGAAAGAATGGTGCAGGACATGCAGTACATATTGTGCTGAAAGGGGACCCAAGCATAAGGGACATGCTCCAATGAAGGTATATCAAGTTGGCGCGCCAATGGAAAGAGTAGCCATTGACATTGCTGGTCCTCTGCCCCAAACTCGTGCTGGAAACAAGTACATTTGTGTGGTGATGGACTATTTCACCAAGTGGCCTGAGGCATATGCAATACCAAATCAGGAAGCTACAACTGTAGCCTCGGCTATTAGTGATTTCTTCTTCAGATTTGGTATGCCATACGAACTGCATTCTGGTCAAGGCCATAACTTTGAATCAGCTGTGTTCCAAGAATGCTGCAAGTTGTTTGGCATCCAAAAGACCAGGACAATGCCACTTCACCCACAGTCCGATAGGATGGTAGAAAAGTACAAATGGACACTGGGACAGGAATTGGCAAAGTTTTGTAATAGTTGCCAAGATGACTGGGATGTCTTACTCCTTCCACTGTTGATGGCCTATAGGACAGCAGAGCATGAAGCCACTGGATACACTCCAGCAAAGTTGATGTTTGGCAGGGAACTTCGGTTGCCAGTGGATCTGTTAACAGGACGCCCACCTTATGAAGAGTTGCTTGAGAATGTGTCAGAGTTTGTGAAAGTGTTATTGGAAAGGATGGATGATATTCACCATTAAGTGCGTTCAAACTTGAAAACGTCTGCTGATTCGATGAAGTTATCTTATGATAACCAGGAGACAAGGTGTGGTTGTATAATCCCAGGAATACCAAAGAGAAGTCTCCTAAGTTGTCTTCTCCATGGGAAGGCCCATATGACATAGTGGATCGCCTTTCAGACGTGACTTTCCGGATAAAATGTGGTCGGCGAGGTAAGCCAAAGGTGGACCATGCCAACAGGCTTTGGCGTTATCACGGTCCAGGAGATTTCAGTTGGGTTGAGGTGAACAACAGGACAAATGACACTGCTGAAGACTTATCACCTGAAAAAGCCACTGTCAAAGAAGAAACTCTACTCAGTTTTGAGAAGAGAAACAGTGAAGCCCTTGATAAAGTTACTACCACTGATGTGACTGTTACTGATGATAGGACATTTCCTGATGAAGCAGATGAACCCCACATGAAGCAGAAGCCAACGAGACGGAGACCAGTACGGAAGAAGATACGTCCCTTAAAATTAAGAGACTTTGTTGAATTTTAATTTTGTTTGTAAATTCTGTACATTTAATTAAGTTATTGTTAATTGTTTATTGGTTTAATGTAAGTGGCTATTGTTCGGGACGAACAATGCTAAGGAAGGGGCAGTGTTACGACAGCTGAAGTCACGTGACGCTAGTAATACGTCATGAACTTCTAGAAAAATCTTTTCCCTTCGTGAAACCTCGAGTGTTTACTAGATTTTCGATATTCTTGTGTATAAGACTGCCAAGAAGTGACGGCAACAATCTAATTATATTGCAGACAGAGATAGAGATTGACAATTGAGTCGAGCACGTGAGTCGTTAGTTGTGAATTATAGCGTTTGTTATAGCGTGACTGTGGAAATTAAGTGTATTGCAAAGTTGTATTCAGAAGGAATAAACCAGTTTTATTTAAGAAAGGACTCGTATCGCTAAAGTTTCTTCGGAAAGAATTTTTACGGAAAATTAAATAACGGTCAGAGACGTAACAATATATTTCCTTGAAAAAAAAGCGGGAAACATTACTTCACTCACTCTCTCTTTAATTTTATTATCAAGAAGGTTTTGAATTTGTTAATAAAATATTTTTTCGTATTCCAATTTTCTTATTTTGTTATCACATGACCAAAAGTGATAACATTTAAAAAAATGTTCCTTTATTTTTTTATTAAATTAACCATTTAATTAAGTGCTAACCTATGATCTCTATACTGAACTGTATTGTGAATTAATTTCTTAGTGTCATTGTATTGACAGCAGACTTCAATCGACTTCAATCAAGGATATCTGGGTGATGGTTGGATGCTTTGCAATCATTTTACTCATTCAGTTCACTTTTAACAAGGTTTCCTATGTGTATTTTAATTTATTTATACATTACTTTATTTAATTTTGCAGCAACAATAAAAGAAAATGGCTACCTAAATAGCAAAAAAAAAAAAGACAGCAATAACTAG